TCTCCTCTCTCTCTCTCTCTCCCTCTCTTTTGTTGTTTGTTTGTTTTTGGTTTTTCAAGACAGGGTTTCTCTGTGTAGCTTTGGAGCCTGTCCTGGAACTTACTCTGCAGACCAGGCTGGCCTCGAACTCACAGAGATCCGCCTGGCTCTGCCTCCCGAGTGCTGGGATTAAAGGCGTGCGCCACCACCGCCTGGCTCCAGTCTATAATATTTTTAAATGAAGGCTGTCATCCTTTTTTGTGTATGTTCATATGTGTGCATGCATGAGTATGTGGAAGCCAGAATCAACCATGGATGTCATCCCTAAGGAGTACTGTCCACCTTGGTTTTTGAGACCAGTTTCTGATTGGGATCTGGGGCTTGCTGCAAGTTAAGAGGCCCTGGGATCCACTTGCCTCTGGTGTCCTGGTGCTGGGATTACAAGTGCACACCAGGAGGCCTGGCGTGTGACATGGGTGCTAGGAACTGAGCTCCAGTCTTCCTGCTTGTGCAATAAGCACCTTACCAGTTGAGCTATTTCCTAGCCCCTGGGTCGTCGGCATTCTGTACACTTTTCCCTTTAGATGAACTAGTGTGTATTTATAGACATTATATGCATTAATGAAATTATGGTAAAATTCAAAGCAGAAATGCAACTACTTCTATACAACCACACTTACTGGCTGGCACTGTTCTAATCTCTCTATGTATTTTAACCTCCCAACATAGTCCTTACAGTTTCCCTACAAAATGGGTGTCATTGTTACTGCCCATTTCACAGATGAGAAGCTTGAAACAGTGGATAAGTCCCACAATCCAAGGATTCTTGGCCTGACCCAGGTTGCTCTAGAGCAGTGGTTCTGAGCTCAAGTCAACTCCCTGAGAAACACTTGACATTACCCAGAGGAATTTTGTGCTGTCTGTTGTTGGCATCTGGCGGTGTTACTAAGCATGTAGGACCGCCCCCCAAGGAGTCATCTGTCCCCCAGTGTCAGCTGCGACAGACTAGACAGTGCTTATCTCAGGTCTGCGTCTCTCTCAGGGAGGCCAAAGCACTGGTGTGCAGTGGCTCTCTGTCCTGAGTCTTGGGTGATTATATTTGATTACCTGAGAAGTAAATGGAAATTGCTTTTCTTTCAGGAGAATCTATTCCGATAAGACTGTTCTTAGCAGGGTATGACCCAACTCCCACAATGAGAGACGTGAACAAGAAGTTTTCCGTGAGGTACTTTTTGAACCTCGTACTGGTTGATGAGGAAGACAGACGGTACTTCAAGCAGCAGGTAGGGCTCCGTTCTGGGCAGATCTGACACCACCTGGAGAGCACCTCCTTCTCAGAAGCTTACTTACTATGCTAAGGGGGTGGGGCACTGAGTGTGAGGGACACTGAGTATTCAGTACAGAAGTAGGGGTTGTAAGAGATCTTTCCAGCCATTCCACAGGACTGGAGATGAGCCACATTGTCAGTCCTTTCATTGTTCTCCTAAAGAACTTTTTTACTCCTGAATAAAACCACCTACTGTTTATGGTATCAGGCAAATAAAGAACAGAGATGGCTAAAAGCCAACAGAAATTCTATCATTGCTGTGATTAGTTTTTCAGATACATTTAGGCATGTTTTAGGTCATACTTTTTCTTTTGGTTTGGTGGTTCTGGGGTGGAACCTTGGGCATGCTGGGTAAGCCCTCCTCCCCACTCCTGCACCTTTCCTTTCCTTCTGGTTTTGACAGAGGTCTTACTGAGTTGCCCAGGCTAGTCTTATATTTACCCTGTCCCAGGCACGCCTTCTACCTTAGCATGCACCGCACGCCCAGCATTTAAGAGTGTCTTGATTGTGTTTCTACTATTAAATCTAGAAACCTTCCTAAGCCTGTCTCCATCATTGTGTGCCATCCCACCCGTCCACTGAACCCAGGCTCATACATGCTAGGCTGGCACTCCATGGCTTAACTACATCCTCAGCTCTCCAGTGTTTTTTAGTTTTCTAGTTTTTTGAGACAAAAGTTTTACAATGTAGTCTAGGCTTACCTCAAATTTCCAATCCTCCTGCCTTACCTCTTACTGAGATTATAGATAGGTATGAGATGTCTCCATGCCCAACTACCAATTATTCTTTCTAATGTCTGTAATTGATAGATTGAGGTTGTCATTTTTTTTTAGTAAGTAGTTGTTATGTCTTTTAGAATACCCAGTTCTGATACTTTTTGTTAAGTGTATCATAAAACTTATCATTGGAGAATTAAGTAGCCTTTGGGGCATCTTGAATAAGGTTGTAGTTAGAATGGTCTATAATGTGAAGTGGAGTAATAAGTGGGTCAGTCAAGTGTTCCATAGCCATATTAGGAATTGTTCTGTGTAGCTGGGCATGGTGGTTCATTCCTGTAATCCTAGCACATGGTGGCTGAGGCAGGAGGATCAGAGTTTGAGACTAGCTTGGGCTCCATAGCAAGAACTTGCCTCGTAAGAACTAAAGAAGGGGCTGAGGAAATGGCTCATCAGTCAAGAGCACTTGGTGGTCTTGCAGAGAACCCAGATTTGGTTCCTAGCACCCAGATTGTGGCTCATAGGGCCTTCCTAGGTACCAGGTCTGCACACGGTGCACATACATACATGCAGGCTATATACAAACAATAAATCTAAACAAACAAAAAGCCCAGCCAGGTATGATTTGAAACAGGAATTTAGAAGAGGAGAGATTTTGGGATTGACTGGTTAGGATACCATTTATGTAGACAGCACCATAGGGAGTGGAAGGCGGTGCTGGGAAGAGGTAGGGCAGCTTACTTGGCCTGCATCAGAGCAGAGACTAACTCAGCTTGGGACAGGCGTTTAGGGAAGGAAGGAGGTAGTAAATTAACATGAGGTATGTGAGGTGGGCCTCGCATGTTGGGCCAGGTACTATCAACGAGCAATACAAGCAATGTTTATAAAACAGATAATGTGGGGGCTGGAGAGATGGTTCAGAGGTTAAGAGTACTGATGACTCTTCCAGAGGACCCGGGTTCAATTCCCAGCACTCACATGGCAGCTCACAACTGTCTGTAACTCCAGTTCAGAGGATCTGACACCCTCACACAGGCATACTTTCAGGCAAAACACCAGTGCACACAAAATTAAACAAAACAAAACAGATAATATGGGATCCAGTGAATGGCTCTCTGGGTAAAGATGCTTGCAGCCAGAAGACCTGAGTTCATCCCTCAGAACTCACAAGTGAAAGAAGAAAATGACTCCAGAAGTCCTTCAGCCTTTACATGTATGCTGTGGCATACACGTGCATGCACACAGCGTGAAATGTGCACATAAAAATATCATGGCAGTGATACGCAGGATGAGTTAGAACAGCCAAAGCTACTCCCCAGAAAGTAGGTTTGGTGTTCTAAGGCCATGACGAGGGCTTGACCTTGGAGGAAAGCAATGGAACAGCAGCAGATTTGGGGATTCTCTAAAGCAGTAACAACTAGGACTATGTGCTAGGGTAGATTTTTGGTGGTGCTGAACGTGAGCGCAGGTGGGAGGAACAGGAGGGGAGAGGGAGAGGGGTCAGGACGGCTGAGGCTTTGGTCGGGAGGAACTGAGATTGTTTTACAGCTTGTTAGCCAGTCTTTTCATGGTGAAATCTAAGACCTAACAGAGAACACCACTGCTGCTGTCTTGTATTCCCCTAGGAGATCATCCTGTGGAGAAAAGCACCCGAAAAACTGAGAAAACCAAGGACGAACTTTCACCAGCGATTTGAATCTCCGGAATCACAGGCATCTGTGGAACAGCCCGAGATGTAAGCAGAATGGGAAAAAGCAGCAGGAACAAGAACTGGAGCCGAGAGGTGACGCTCAGTGGGCTAGAGCCGGTCACAGCCGGGAAAGTCCAACTCTGTCTGCTAGTCTTCCTCATCCTCAAGTGCTGCATTATTTTCCAGTATGATTAGAGATTCTGTGTGTGTACCAACTTTAAAAAGTGCTTTCTTGGAAACACTGGAGGATTCCTAAGCTGCCTTTCTTGTTTTCTTTTTACTGCACACTGATCAGTACTCAGATGCATCAGCATAAGCATTAAGGATTTTCATGTGAGTAGGCTGGTATTTGTCATTTTGTTTTCTTTATGCATAATGTTGAAAATCCTTTTCTCTTTTTTCACGCTAATGATTACCTCTTATTCGCTATGTGCAAAAAATTAAATATTTTTTTGTTCAAGTAAAATGAGAAAACCTGAGCAGCCCTTATGTCCTGCAAAGTTTTAAGACACGGCTCCTCAGTATTTTTGAGAATTGTTTTTACATGTGTATCAGAAACCAACCTGGTGTTGCATGGTAGATGCTTCTGGATCTACCATTTCACGGCCTCCTGGTTTTAATGGGGTCTTCGGAGATATATTAAAATTTTCCAACCAAGGGATTACATGGCGTGTCGTTGTGCCCTCTCCCCCCATTAACCTTTTTTGCTATTACTTTCTGTATCACCATGTAGGGTCTGCAGTGTGGAGTTGACATGATGGCATTTTAGAACACCTTAAACCTGTATCATTTTTCCATAAATACTTTGAAACGTGTATATATATTTTAATTTAAGGACTCTTTGCCATGTGTGTGCAAATATCCATTTGGGGATGAGAGGGCTCCAGAGGACCTGTGAAGCATATGTAAGTGTCCAGATCTGGACAGTTTCTTGTTAACTGGAACATTGGCGAGTTCAAACTCACTTAAATGTCACCTAGTCTATTTAAAAACAAACAAACAAACAGACAAACAGGAAATTCATTTGTTCAGTGGCTCTGAAGAAGTCGCTGCAGTCATCTGAGCACAGACCACTGATGGTGGACTATGGGGCAAGACAAAGGCTGCTGTGTGGGAGCTACGGTCACTCGTGGTTCATTGTTCTTTTGTTTGTTTTTATACCAGTATTCCTTGACACCTCAGAGCAAGTTCTGTCAGTTAACCTTACTTTCCGAGGAAACTGAACAGCCCAAGTTACCTTTCTTTAAACCTATTTTACTATGATGGCACTTTGATAAAATGGCCAGCAACCAACCCTGGCCAAAGGTTCCACGTACGTCCTGGAGCAGCTACTGTACATGTGGAGTTCTAAGAATGGCCATGTTTCCCTTCATGTAAGTGCCTGTTCAGAGTTTCAAATTTTCAAAATGCCAAATATTTTCATGGTCACTTGCATGTAGTAATCTAGGAAATATTCAGAGATTTTGAAAACCAATTGCATTTAACCGGCCTCAAGTTGTGCAACTATGATATATAATAAATAATTTGAAACAGAAACTTGTAGTCTGAGTAAAATGACTTTATTCTCAAACCTTCTCATTGTTAGTAGATTGAACACAGGCTTGTCCAATGGTTCAGGAAGACACAGTCACAACAGTGAGTTTTTATAAATAGCACGTAGCTTAAGGTTTGTGAAGGTTTATTCTGTTTTTTATGTGTATTGCTGTTTCGCCTGCATGTCTGTCTGTCCAGATGTGGGCAGTGTCCAGGCAGGGCAGAGGAGGGCATTAGACCCCCTGGAGCTGAAGTTACAGGTGGTTACGAGCCCCCATGTGGGTGCTGGGAGCAGACCCACGTGCTTGCTATTAACCACTGAGCCATCTCTCCAGCTTCAGTTTTAACTAGTTTGCTTAAAACTTACATAAAATGCTGATTCACTCCACCTGAGACTTTCTGGTGCATAATCTAAGTTTTTTTTCTGAATTCAGTTTTGGGATTTTAGTCAAAAGCTGGTAAATAAAAACATCAAACTACAAGCTAAATTTGTCCACTGATGTAGTGGCACAGTGGTTCTCAATCTTACTCCAGTGTCAGGGTCACTTCAAGAGCTCTAAAAAGATGGCCATGCCTAGGTTTTACCTAGATGGTAAAATCATAATCTCACTGGGAGTAGTGGTACATACCTGTAATCTCAGCACTTGAGATGCAGAGGCAGGAGGATTACCACAAGTTCAAGGGCAGCTTGATCTACATAGGGAATTCCAAGCTAGTTAGAGCTATATGAGGCTCTATCTCCAAAAAAATTTTTTTTCCTATGTATTGGGACCTAACATAAAAAAGAAACTACCCAGGGTTAAAGAGACACTGAACATGTTTCTTGTGTTAAGATGGTCTCATACAGGCAGAGCTGGTCTCAAATTCACTATATAGTCGAGGATGACCTCAAAATACTTTTAAAACAAAACTAAATCCCAACACTCGGATGGCAGAGGCAGATGGATCTCTGTGAGTTCGAGGCCAGCCTGGTCTACATAGAAGAGTTCCAGGACAGCCAAGGCAACTGTCTGGAAAAAGAAACAAAAAATTAAAGTAGGGTCTTGTAGCCCAGGTTAGCTTTGAACTCCTTATGTAACCAAGGTGATCTTTAACTTCGGATCCTTCTGTCGTCGTTCCCCCTCCCCCCCCTCCGCCCTCCCCCCCACATTGGCGTAGGTATCACCAGGATGCTTGGTTTACGTGGTACTTGGACTTCCTGACTCAGGACTTTGTGCACGCTAAGCAAAGCACTCAATCAACTGAGGTGCAACCCTAGCTCTAACCTCAGACTTGAGTCCCTCTACCTCCTGGTTTATAAGATGCTAGAGATTGGACCAAAGGCTTCATACATGCTAGGTAAGCACTCTAGCAATTCAACTATATTCTCAGCCCCATTTAAATATTTGGTTTCCCCATTAATGAAGTTTTCTTATTTGACATAGTTGGGGAAAAAAGGATTTTCCCCTATTGTTTGAGACAAGGTCTGTTTGCAGCTAGACACTACTCTGTCTCAGCTTCTTGAATGCTGGGTTTACAGACATGAATCACCATGCCTGATTCTCTGTACTTCCACACTAAGTGATGGACACAAGAGGAAGGCCTATGTAACCACACACCTGTGAAGGTTCACAAACTACAACTCAAAGGGAGTGGGTAGGACTTGGTGCTTGCGTACCTTCGTAAAGAGTGGTACCTTAGGCGAGCTGCAGAGGCTTCTGTGAGGCTTAGACATGGTGCCCACTTACTGCTTAGGAATAAGTCAGTCTTCCCTGGTCAGCTCCTGGGTGGGTATCAGTGGCATATCTGAACCTCTTCAGTACGGATATGGTAGTTGTGATACTAAATTTCAGTTACAGTGTAATGAGCAAAGTTATTTGCTGTACCATTTACATTGGTTGAATCTGCTGATCATGTATGAAAGCACCCTCTAGTGGCTTATACCTCTGCTGGAACTTTACAGATTTTAAATTTTCAGCCATAAGCAAAAGCATAGTGTGGAAAATACCCTCAAATATATATATATATATATTTAAAGACTTGGATGTTCTGAAATTGTTAGAAGCTGGCTGCTGGATAGCATGGTCAGACTCTACACTGCAGAAGACATCTTCAGCTCTGGTTCTGCCCAACCCCATACACACTGCTGCTTCCCACCCTTGCTCTACCTGACTTACTCACCTTCCAGTAAGGCTGTCCCAGGGAACTTTGTTTTTTTAAGACAGGTTCTCAGTATACGTGGCTAGCCTGGAACTCTGTATGGACCAGGCTGGCCTCAAACTTGGGAGATATTCTTGCCTCTGCTCCGGAGTGCTGGGATTAATTTTGTATGCCACCATGCCTGGCCAAGTCTCTGAATTTTCAAGTTCAGTATGGGGGGTGGACAAGGAGAGGCAGGAGGAAGAGGAGGAGGTGGAGTTATTTAGGAAGGAGTGGGAAGAACCCGGGAGCAGGGTGAGAATTCTGAGGCAGAGGAAAGGAATCTTCAGTTTGCAAAGTGGGGAAACGGGACTAGGAGAGTAGGGTAGGTCTGGAGGGCACAGACTTAGAGCCAGGCACAGGGATTTTGCCCAACAGCCAATGATCAATATAAGGGGACTGATTGAGGTTCTGGGGTACCTGTGACCTTGAGCCAGATGGCTCAAGCAGCGGTGGGGTCCAGAGAGCCAGATGGCTCAAGCAGCGGTGGGGTCCAGAGAGCCAGCTGCTGGCCAGCCCACCTTATATGAGGGCCAACTGACCTCACACAAAAGCAGTTTCTCCTTAGTGAGGCTAACACAATAATTGTCCCCACAACTGGGGGGAAAATTCTTGAACATGCATTGTAGGAGAGGTTTGGAATGGTTGCCCCCTCTGTAGAGAAAAGTTTATGTGACTCCAGGAAGCAAAAGGTCAAAGGGATCAGGCGGAGAAGGTACAAGCAGATGGGGTGGTATTAGGTGAGACCTTTGAGTCGAGGACAGGAGTGTACCTGCTCATACACCTGGAGAACTCTTGTCCTCAGAAGGAGGGAGGGAGGGTAGTGCAGACTGCGGGGTCTCCTCTTTTTCCTCGTCATCTGTTGGCTACCAGTCTGCAAGGACAAAGGGAGCAGAGGTGGCGGCGTGCAGGGCTTTGTACAGCCAGTGAGTAAGACGGAAATAGCCTTCCAGGAGTCTGCTTCAGTGTTGCGGCTCAACTTGACTTCAGAGTGAGGGGAGTATATAGGATGGGGAGAGTAGCTGGGCATCACCTAGTCTGCATTTGCAGCATGCTCCTATCATACAGCTGGAGTCCGATACCGAATTACCATATGGGCAGCAGGGGAAGAGCATTTGCAAGGAACTATGTCAAAGGTCACACTTGATAAGTCAGGCATCTGGGCTCAAAGAAGCTTCCAAATGAGGTCAGGTGGAGAGCAGGAAGCTCCCAATGGGGGAAGGGAGTCCTCCATTTTACACCAAGCTCAGGAGAGCTGTCAGACAAGGTGGACTGCGACCAGCAGGGAGTAGGGCCCGCCAACAGCAGACAAAAGACAAGGAGGGCAGAACTTACTGGAACTGTCATTATCCCAGGGCAGGGATTAACGCTGCTCTTGTAACTCAGGTGAAGAGGGCAGGGGGTCGCTTCTTGAAAGGGGAGGTGCACACCCCAGGTTGACTTCTGGTTGTCACTAAGTCAAAAAGCCTGGTGGACAGACCAGCTCTTGCATCCTTGAGACAGACAAAAGGACAAGACACAACAGATACACAGAGAACAAAGATCTAGACCTCCCTGCCCCACCCCCCACCCCACCCCCAGGACAAGCACTGTCCAGAGCAGAACTCAGTTTGCTCACCAGCTGGCTCTCCATCTTGGGGAACTTTGACAATAGGCAGATTCTGAACTGTCACCACTGAGCCATACGCAGTCACCGCCAGTTAGGACCCACCTAGACTCAGTAGCCTCTGCCAGATTCCCAGCTCTAACCTTGGAGCCGGTGGTCCAGATGCAAGCCAACTACTCCACTGAATCATTCACACGTTACTTGGGCTGGCCACTTGCTCAGACTAAATCAGGTAGTTAGGTCTTTAGTAACTGGCATTCCAATATAAAGCAAAGGAACAGGCAAAGACCTTGAGCCAGAACTGAATACAGAATACAGATTTACCTCCCAGGAGAACCAGAGGGATCGGATCCATTTTGGTGCCTGGGAACATGGCAGTCATACCAGACCTCTCCGGACTCAGTGAGAGGCCCTGGAATGTCTTCAGGGCCTGCCTCCCCTTCAACCTCTTGTCTGCAGTGAGGCTGAGTCTCATGTGGTATGAGATAGCTCACCGGGGCCTCCAAATGAGATGCTTATTTGAGTAATTACATCTAGAACACCACAAATATAAGACCAAGTCGGAGTCCTTTATTGAAGCTGGCAACTGACAATAGGCTTCTGCCACAAAGAACTCTCAGCCCTGACGGGAGAAAATACAGAGTTTACAGAGGCAAAAACAAGCATCATTTCCCTGCAAGGAAGGAGGAACTCTTTGTTCTGTCAAGCAAGATGTGGTTTTGAAGTGGAGGTATGGGTCAGTTGTGTATGTATTGGGTGTGTGTGTGTGTGTCAGGGCTGAAGAGTTAATGACCTGAAAGCTTCAGGCAAGCGGAGAAACTCCATACAAGAAAGCTGACACACTGATAACATCTGCAAGCAGTTTGGAGCTGAGGAAGGAAGTCAACTCCTGACAAGGAAGTCAACATATTGGTCAGAACCTGTTAGCGCAGCACACAGATCTGGAGATGGAATTTACACTCCAATAGTTCCCTGCCCTACGAAGCCCTCAAGCCACCCCCACCTTGGAGCATCTTCTCCAACTCTGCTGAGACTGTTGCCCTTCACTGTTCTAATGCTCTAAGAAAGACAATCTGCTTCTGCTAGGCTCCCTTTTATTTGCAAGTTGCCTTGATCAATTCTGATCCACTAAGAGTAATGTGAGACAAATGCCTCGCAAGTTAATGACCAGAACAGAAAAATTATACCTTGCAGGTTAAGAGATCTATTTGCAGCTAAGAGAGTTTAAAAGACATTCCTGTTTGTCCTGTGTTAAATCTTTACAAAATAAGGTTTCTAATTGTAATTAAGAAGTTCCTCGGGCTGGAGAGATGGCTCAGCAGTTAAGAGCACCGACTGCTCTTCCAGAGGTCCTGAGTTCAATTCCCAGCAACCACATGGTGGCTCACAACCATCTATGAGATCTGGTGCCCTCTTCTGGACTATAAGCATATATGCAGATAAAACACTATACATAATAGATAAATCTTTAAAAAAAAAAAGTTCCTGTCTGCTCTGTGCTGAGTCCTAGTTAAGGGACAAGTCCCTGTTTGTGCTAAATAAGGTTTCTATTTGTAATTAAGGGTAAGTTCGCCGGGCAGTGGTAGTGTATGCCTTTCATCCCAGCACTCGGGAGACAGAGGCATAGTGAGTTCCAGGACAACCAGAGCTGTTACACAGGGAAACCCTGCCTCTAAAAACCAAAAATAAATAAATTAAAATTAAAAAATAAAAGAGTTCTTGTTTCTTAGGTCTGATGTAAACTGCTTATAACCCCACTTGATATATATTCTTGCCTTTGTTCATCCCCTTTTCATTGTATCCTTTTAACAGCATATAACAGCCAACCTTCTCGCCCCTGTGAATACCTTATCTCTCTCCTAATAGAGAGACTTAAAAGGCCAGCGGGAGCTGCTCTTTTAAATTCCGACTTAGGGTGATGCAGGGAATGAGCCAGTCCCGAGTGCACCCCCAAATATAGCTTGCTTTAACTGGACAATCACGGACTTGGGTCTTTTCTCCTCACGAATTACAGATTTAACAGCAACCTGATTTCTAGGCCACTTATATTGTCTTCGGACTAGACTTCACTTATCATTTCTCCATGCCTCTTGTTTGCTTTTAATTCTGCAGAAATCTCGTTGTAGCTTTGGAAATTACTACCTGGGCTTGCTGTCAACCCATTATAGTAATAAATACTTGCATTATTTAACGGGTACCATTATCACCAAAATCAGATCAGAAATTGAGTGTAAAGTAATAGGTTTCTCCACCCACGCAGTAAGCCTGAGAAAGCCAAACTGAGAGAGAGTCTAACAACGGGTTTATTTGAGGAAAGCAACTTCTGGGCGGGTTCTCCAGTCCCAGAGATGGAGGCGAGAGAAGACGGCGCCCACAAATGAAAGCAGGGAGACTTCATAGGTTGTAGGCAAGGGATGATGACATGTAAGCCACAAGCTGGGTTTGTGCCTAGTATGGTCAAAAGCTGAGTGCATTACATGGGGACTTGCGCAGCTGGCAACTTCAGGGGAGGAAGCTGTAGTAGCCGCTAAGAATTCGGAACTGGACTTTTTGTCGCCTTTCCTTTGTTCGGAGGCTCTGAGTATGTGTGGGAGGGGGCGCGGGGGGGGGGGGGTTGGGGGTAGAGACAGGAAGAGACATAAATGGGGCTTTCCGGATCATGCAGGGGCGAGACGGAGGTTCCATCCGAACATAAAGGACTTCTCAAATCCCTAACGTTACCTTTTAAGTCAAAAGCATTTAGCAAACTGTTTCAAGAATCCTACTGGACACAGAATGTTACTTATATAACATGTCACTTAAAGTTACAAGTTCATAATGTAGGAATGGGGGAGTATAAGGAACACCTGGCCGTTTGTTCGGAACTTAGTATGTTTCAGTCTGGGGAGGAAACAGTATCCAACTAATACAAACGAGACTAATCTTTCAAGAAGTTACACAGCGTGTGCTTTTGTCTTGTTCTGACTTTCAAGTTGTGAGGAGTGCAAGCTGCTTACATTAACGTTTAAGTCCTGTAGCTCATTGGTGGAGCACATGTCTAGCATGCTCATGGTTTCATCATCGAGTCCTAGCGCCGAGGAGGGACACACATGTGCCATACAAGGACTTTACTTACTGTCGTACAACGGAATTTCTCTGCAACTCGTCTTGCTCTGTAACAGGTAAAGTCATGTCCTCCAACGTTATCCTACCAGGGAACTAGGGACGATAGCACACCAATTTCCTTGGGGGATGCATTTTAGCGTTTAGAGCCACGTGCTGCTGGAAGCTGGCTCACCGCAGTGGCCAGTTTGGTCACATGACGACGCTTGCACGATTTCCCCTTGGCGCATCTGTGGCGTCCCTAAAGAGGCCTGATTATTTTCCCTTCTTTGGAGAAAGCTGCTGCCGATTGCCGCAGAAAGCGGGAAAGGGTGCGAGCTTGTTTCCTCCAGTGGACCCTACAGACGTCATTCTCCCTTGAAGAGGAGCGAGCTTCCGGCCCTTACATCTCCTTTACGGTCAGGCGCACATTGGGACAGCCCCGCTCCCGCTCTGGGTCCTTTCGCTCTGCGGGCGCCGGCGCGCGTCACCGTTCGGCGCCCAGTCGCCGGGCTTCTCCCGGCTCGGGTGGGAGCCGCGGCCTCCATGTCCTTTCCTCGGTGTGCCCTGCTGTGGGCTCGGCTCCCGGCGGGGCGCGGGGCTGGGTCCCGGGCTGCCACCCGCTCCGCCCTTCGCGCGCTCGCGGGACCTTTCCCCGGGGCTCCGGGACGCGTTCCCTGCCTCGCCGCCTCCTCCTCCTCCTCCTCTGCCTCTGGGGGCTCCAAAGCCCCGAACACGTCCTTGTTCGTGCCGCTGACAGTGAAGCCTCAGGGTCCCAGCGCCGACGGCGACGTGGGTGCCGAGCTCACTCGGCCTCTGGACAAGAGTGAGTGTTGGAGCCCCCCCGGCGAAGCGGCAGAGTTTGGGGCTCGGACCTGCAGGGTGCAGTGTGCGCTCCTTTCTGGAGTCCTCAGCACTCTAATTCACTCTTTTTGTTTTTTTAGTTTTTCGAGACAGGGTTTCTCTGTGTAGCTTTGCGCCTTTCCTGGAACTCGCTCTGTAGCCCAGGCTGGCCTCGAACTCACAGAGATCCGCCTGGCTCTGCCTCCCGAGTGCTGGGATTGATTAAAGGCGTGCGCCACCACCGCCCGGCTTCTAATTCATTCATAACTCCCTTTACAGGGACATTGACCCTTCCCGCCCTTCCTCTGAGTGGTTAAACTCCATCTCTTGGGTTGAGAGGGTTAAGAAAGAATTTTGTCCTTTAGTGGTGCGCCGCTTGTGGTCCTCGGGTCCTCAGAGGGCGTGAAGGGATGATAGCGAGGACTTTCAGAATTCTTTGCCATTGACTGCACTCGGATGTCTAACAATGTTAAGATGCCGTCTTGTTGCCAAGACGACGAGTGTCAGATCCCGATTTCTCAATAAATGTACTCTCCCACGAGGTAGACCGACATGTAAATACAAGATAGAAGTTGATAAATCTGTCCTTGCCAAGAGTAGTAGACATCCCCACCCTCCCAGGTTCCAGAGATGAAGGGAAAAAAACAAAAAAAAACAAACAACAAAAAAAAAAACAACTTAGCAACCCTGGGTGGCAGTGGGTTTTGTCCTACCAATTAGGTTCGGGTGAGTTTGACAAGTGTGTAAATGTTTTCAGTGGCATGGGGCTTCAGATTATATGGCCACTGTATGACTAGGAGGGTGAAAGGTTTCCTCTAACCGAATGACATTCTTGAAGATTGAAAGAATACCATGTCTTCTAGACACAAGCTGTCCAGGAACGACCTTTAGGCAGCTGGCTTTAATAAGTGAAATTGATGCTTCCTATTGTGACTTTAAAACAGACTTTATCTTGGGAGTCTGAGGCAGAGGGATGGTAAGTTTAGTGCTAGCCTGGGCTATAGAGTGAGTTCAAAACCAGCTAGGGTAACTTAAAGATATCCTGTTTCAAAATTAAGTTTGTTTGTTTCTAAATGAGCTTGAGGATACAGCCCTGGCCAAGCATGTGTGCAATGCCCTAGGTTCATTTCCCAGTACTGTCTTCAACTAATCAACAAAATAGTGCTCCTCTTCTTTCCCCTTCCTCCCCCTCTACCTTTTCCCTCCTCAAAAGAAGCCCAGGCTGTTCTCAGACAGGGGATTGCCACTGATTGATTACTGGTACAGGCCACCATGGCCACCACTACTGCTAGCAGTGAGGTACTTCTGCCTTGGAAAGCGGAAGGGCTCACCTCTTCCTGGAAGTGATGGCTCCTCTGGGAGCTTTGGGCACAAGTGGACGTTGGGAGACCACTCTGTGGAGCTGGTTCTCTCCTTGTGTGTCTGCGGTGGAGCAGGGATGTTGTGTTGTTTTGTTCTGTCATTTTCCTTACACTCCATTGCACGCTAACTCACCAAGAGGGATCAGCTCACAGCTTCACGTTCTTGCAGCATTCCTGAGGCTGCTGCCTTTAGCGTCGTGACTTCAGTGTCCTTTTGCTTTTTGTAGATGTGTCTAAATTGGGAAACAAATGTTAAACTTTCATATCTCTCTTTTAGATGAAGTAAAGAAGATCTTAGACAAGTTTTATAAGAGGCAAGAAATTCAAAAACTGAGCGCTGACTATGGACTTGATGGTAAGGCCAACAACTTTTTTAAGATTTATTTTCCATTATTTTGATCACTTTTTGAGTATTTTGCCTGTGTACCATTTTCCTGAAGTGCCCATGGAAGAGGGCGTTGGATACCCTGGAGTTGGAGTTAAGAGATGGTTGTGAGCCACCACGTGGGCACTGAGAATGGCGTCTTGTTTCCCTGGCACACTTAACCACTGAGCCATCTCTCCAGCTCTGCCAGTAACGTCTTTATAGAATTGTTACATTTTACTTGGTGCTTGTTATATGTAGTTACAGTACATAGTTGTAGTCTGAAGAAAAGTCTGTCTCCGGGGACCCCCAAGCCCATCTTGCAAGCCAGGCTGCACAGTGCAGGAGTTGCTATCTGTTCAGCCGGCCTCAGGGTCCTGTTTAGTTTCAGTTTTAGCCAATCCTATACTAAACCAGCTGTGCTACCAAAATATTGGTAGGCGCTTGGAGCTTGCTGTGGTCTGCATATGTCTTAAGATTGAGAACGCAAATAAAGACTAAGTCTTGTGTGTTTTGATGTTGTGTTTTCCACAGCCCGTCTCTTCCACCAAGCTTTCATAAGCTTTAGAAATTACATTATGCAATCCCATTCTCTGGATGTGGACGTTCACATTGTCTTGAATGACATCTGCTTCAGTGCAGGCAAGTGCTTAGAGAATTCTTTAAAGTTATTTTGTGTGTGTGAGATAGAGTTGGGAGGAAGAAGAGAAAAGAGTGTGTGTGTGTGTGTGTGTGTGTGTGTGTGTGTGTGTGTGTACGCGCGTGCGCTTGCTTACTTGGTTGGAGGTCAGAGGGCAACTTTTGGGAGTCTGCTGTCTTCCCGCTGTAGGTTCCCAGGATTGTAAAGCAGTACCTTTGCTTGCTGAGCTGTCTCCTGGGCCTGCTTAGGGGTTTCTTTGAATTATGGTTGTTTTATGTGTGTGGGTGTTGTGCCTGTACAGATTTCTGTGCACCATATGCACGTGGTGTCTGTGAGGCCAGAGGAAGGTATCAGATCCCCCAGGACTGCAGTTGTAGTCAGTTGTGAGCTACCATGTGGGTGCTGGGAGTACAACTTGGGTCATTTCAAGGCCAACCTGGTCTACAAAGGAGTTCCAGGACAGCTACGGCTACACAGAGAAATCCTTTCTCGAAAAACAGAGAGAGAGAGACAGAGACAGAGACAGAGACAGTGAGGGGTCTGAACTGGGAGGATTGCAAGTTTGAGGTTCAGTTTTGAGTATTTGTGCAGAGCAAGCATGCTAATGCACTGCACTGTTTTACAGCTCACGTGGACGACTTATTTCCATTTTTCTTGAGACATGCCAAACAGATCTTTCCTGTATTGGAATGCAAGGATGACCTCCGTAAGATCAGTGACTTGAGGATACCACCCAACTGGTTAGTTCTGGTGCTTACTGATATGAGATTTCCCAATTTGGGGAAACTAATGTTGATGCTTTTTGTTTTATACTAGATAATAAATTATAGAGTCTGAATTGTGTTTTCCCTGAAATAAAATAACAAAGAGATTAATTCTGTCAGACATTTTATTGGTGCGTCCCTTTCATCCTGATAGAGCTTGGATTAAGGTTTTCTTAGGACAGATTTCAGATAAAGTTTCTCTTGCAAAATTGTTCTAAGCTGTAGTCTGATGTCTTAGCTGACTGCCTGAATGGTAATAGTTCTTTCCCCATCGCCGGAGCTCAGCATCTTAGCACAGTGATGCCTTTGAGACACTCCACTCAGATCCTGTGGGCTGCTTCTAGGCCCTGCCAGGTCTCACCTTACATAGGTCCAGCCCAGCCCTTGGCCCAAACCCCACAGACACAAACCACCACCACCCCTACCTCCCACTCTACCCACCCCCCACCCCCGCACACGGGGACTTCAGGGCTCCCACTGTCTGCATCTTTTTTTCTCTTTGACATTCTGCCATTCAAATCCCAACTGCTTCAGTCCAGATTGGAGAGTGTGCTCGATTGATCGGTCATTTGTCTAGTAGGGACAAAGCTCCAGACTTGATGCCCAGTACTGAATAAAACCAGGCATGGTGGTAGATGCCTGTAATCCCAGCATTTGGGAGGTAGAGGCAGAGGGTTAAGAATTCAAAGTTACTGGTCGTGGTGGTGGACACCTTTAGTCCCAACACTCAGGAAACAGAGGAAGGAGTATCCCTGTGAGTTCAAGGCCAGCCTGGTCTACATAGAGAGTTCCAGGCTAGCCAGGGCTACATAGACTCTGTCTCAAGAAAAAGAAAAAAGAAAGAAAAAAAAAATCAGTCATTCTTGGCTATATAGCAAGTTGGAGGCCAACCTAGGCTACATGAAACCCTGTCTTTAAAAAAAAATTGCAGTCACTTGAGCAGCTCTAAGTCTGACCCGCTTGTTCAGGGCAGTTGTTCTTTGCTTGGCCTCCGTCGCTCTGTCCTGCTGGGGTGTATTAAGATCATCTCCAGTGCTCCCTTCTGTCAGGAGTCTAGTCCTCTCTGCCTGTGTCTCTGTCCTGCTGGGGTGTATTAAGATCACCTCCAGTGCTCCCTTCCGTCAGGAGTCTAGTCCTCACCGCCTGTGTCTCTGTCCTGCTGGGGTGTATTAAGATCATCTCCAGTGCTCCCTTCCGTCAGGAGTCTAGTCCTCACCGCCTGTGTCTCTGTCCCAAAGAGTTGCTGCAGTGTCTGCCCCGTTTTGTGTCTGCAGATGGTGGTAGAGCATCTCCTCCCCAGTCAGTCCACGTGGCCAGAAGCAGAGGCTCAGTTCCTCTCTTTATAAATACTGACATTACTAGGCCGGGGGTATTTGCTTTGGGGTCTGAAGGTCAGAGTTGTGGGAATAATGTAAGCATATCTATGGGGCCAGTTTAA